CCTCAAAGCCCACTGCCAGGGGCACATTTCCTTCAGCAAGGCCACACCTCCTAATGTCCCTCCCTACTCATTCAAACAGGAGGCTATGGGGTCCATTCTTATTTAAACCACCACAGCTATGATGTGGAAGCATAAGCCAAATAAATCCTTTCCTTCCCAACTCACTTTTGGTCATGGTTTTTCATCATAACAATAGTAACCCTGACTAAGACAATGGTTTAGTCTATGGTGGCCAGGAAGGCATGGTGGCAGGAAAGGCTTGTAGCTGTGGTTGTTAGAGTCTGTGGCTGCTTGCTCACATCTGGGTCAACAAACAAACAAAACCAAAAACAAACAAAAAACCTAAGGTCAGGCAGTACATGATACTCCCAGCAACCCATTTCCTCCAGCCAGGTCCCATCTCCAGAATGCCCCCAGCTTCCTCAACCAGCACCCCTAGCTTCCTCAACCAGCACCCCTAGTGTGCTCACACTGGAGCATCTGCCGGGCACTGTGCACCGCACCCTAACAGCCCCTCTTATCTTGCAGTATCCGGAGCGTGATGCAGAGGTATCTTGCAGAAAGAAACGAAATAACCTTTGACAAGATTTTCAATCAGAAAATCGGTGAGTTCTGCTTCTTCATCTGGTACTGTCATGGCAGCAGCGAGACCTGGTGATGCCACAGTGACCTCTGCATAGAGCCCTTGGTGCTGCATACCATGTAGAGCTGAAGAGGGGGAACTGAAGGAACCGGGTGGTTAGCCATTCGCTTCACCCCTGTGTATTTTCCCTGTATTGCATCGTGGGGGTGAGCTATTTGGAAACAGAGGGTTTAAGCCTTAAGGCCGTTGGTGGGTGTTTGTCCTGAGTCAGAGTGTATAACGCCACAACTGGGAGGGCAGAGCAAGGAAATGGCTCAGTTCCTCCCCAGCTGGTGACGAACACCAGGGGCGGTTTCCAGAGCTGCCTCTCCAAAATAGGAGACATTTACTCAAGAGGTCTCTGCGTGTTCACACCAGGTAGACACTTCTATGCCTCGGGAAGGCCCCTTCCACCCTCACTTGGAGCCAAACCTATTCTCACTGAGAATGCCCTGAGAAGCATCAGGCTTGCTTTTTGTGCCTGAGAGTTGGACTATCTGGGTATTTCTCATAGAGGGAGACTCACCCTGCATGGGGCCGTGATCTCCGTGTCTGGCCCCTTTCCCTGGTGACGAGGTTTTCCTTGATTTCATCTGCTGCTGCCTATGTTAGTGCTTCATTCCCTTTCAGGGCTATGTATGGACATACAGCACTTTGTTTACCCATATGGGAGGAGAGAGGCCATTGGATCTGATCTACTTTTGTCCATTCCGAACAAAGTTGCTGTGACCTGTGAATATTTACAAACCTCTCTTTCTGTTTCTGTCTGTCTGTTTCTCTCTGTGTGTCTCTCCTGTCTTTGTCTTTCTCTCTGTCTCTGTCTCTGTCTCTGTCTCTGTCTTTCTCTCTCTCTGTCTCTCTCTGTGTACAGCCATTCATTTTCCTTAGATGTACACCCCAGAGTAGAGTTGCTGGATCATACGGTAAATTCACATTAAACTTTTTTTTTGTTGTTGTTGTTGTTGTTTTTTTTTTTTTTCGAGACAGGTTTTCCCTGTGGCTTTGGAGGCTATTCTGGAACTAGCTCTTGTAGCCCGGGCTGGTCTCAAACCCACAGAGTTCCACCTGCCTCTGCCTCCCAAGTGCTGGGATTAAAGGCATGAGCCACCACAAAGCAGACTTCCTCCTAAAGCGGCTACACTGTTGCGCATGCCTGGTGGGGGCTCTGGTTCCTCAGAGCCTGCCCCTGGCTGCTCTGTTTGGTCTGTTTGGTTGCATCTCATTGTGGGTTCTATTTCTCATTCCCTTACAGTTAAGGGTATTGAGGGTGTTTGAATAATTAACCATTTCTAAATGGTCTTTGGAGAAATGTCTATTTAAATATCTTGCCCTTTAGAATTGGGTTGCCTTTGTCATTGTCACGGAAGTGTTTGAAAATGTGCTCTTGTAGTCAATACCTTCTTTCCCATTTCACTGGTGGCATTTGAAACCAAAAGGTTTTAATATTAATGCAGTCCAGTTTGTACATTTTTCTCTTTGATCATAGCTCAGAGTCATATCTAAGATGTTTTTGCTTAATGGGTTCTTCTAAAAGTTTCAGTTTTTTTCTCTTGTGTTTAGTATTTGGCTTATTGGGGTAAGATTTTTAAATCTATGGCATGAAGATTATTGCTTTATTTGTATAAAGTATTTTACAGTTATTTATTTTCATGTTGGGTGCACACATGCATGCCGGGACTCACAGGAGAGGCATGATCACAGGAGAGATCAGAAGACAACTTTTGTTTGGGAGTCGGCTCTCTCCTTCTCTCGTGTGGGTTCTGGGGATTGCACAGAGGCTGTCAGGCATGGCAAGGACCACATTTTATCAGCCGAGCCATCTCACCTATGCTCCTATCCCTTTTTTTATGCGTGGCATTTTCTTTTTCCCACTGGATTGTCTCTGGTAATCTTTGCTGAAAATTGACTGTAGAATTGGGTTGGTGCGGCTTCTGACTTGTCCATTTACTCTTGTGTCGGCTTAGGCCAGCGTTTGTGCCCCTGGCTTTAGAGCAAGGTTTGGAACTGGGAAGTTAAAGTCTGCAATATGCTCTGTTTTAAGGTTGTTTGGGGACGATTCTGGACACTTTACAATTCTGTGTGAGGTGTTTTAGTAATCCCTTTCCAGTTTCCTCTGGGTCTGTGATGGACAGCCTTGAATCCTCGCTGCTGGGAGCCACCATTTTGACCCTATTAGTGAACACTCTCTGCTGCTTCGGCAGCTTGGGGCAGCCCCAGGCCACCATCTTTTCCAGTCTTGAGCTTCTCAGTGAGTTCATTCCTAAGTACAGAAGCTGCTTCTGTAGTGTTGAGCTGGAACTGTTTGCACTTTTGATTGTTCATTGTTGGGATTCGGAAATACAACGTGTTCTACAGTTAGCTCCTGGGATCCAAACTAGATTAGTAGTTCTAGTTAGGTGGGTGCATGTCTGTGTGTGCACCTGTGTGGTGTGTGTCTGTGTCTGTTGTGTATCTGTGTGTGTGTGCACACAAGTGTGTATGTATATGTGTACCTGTGTGTGTGCACTTGAATCTGTGGTTCATGTATGTGATTTTTGTATGTGTGCACCAGTGTGTCTCTGTATAATATACATGCATAAACCAGTGTGAGCACCAATGTGTGTGTTTGTGTATACCTGTGTATGCCTGTGTGTGTGTTCATGCTCCTGTGTGTGTGTGTGTGTGTGTGTGTGTGTGTGTGTGTGTGTGTGTGGTTCATGTATATTTTTTTGTGTGTAGTACATTTGTGGTATGTGTGTGTACATTTGTGTGTGCATGTAAGTATGTATGCATTAAGTGTGTATATGTGAATTCATTAGGCTGATCTACAACCTGACTGAATAATTGTTTTTATTTCTTTCTTTCTAATCTTGTGTCTTTATTGTTTTTATTTTTCATTTTAACTCTTAATTATTTTTTAATGTTTCTCTCAATCATTTTTAGTATGATTTAAAATAACATTTGTCTAGAAAGAATTCATGGATTGCATTTGATTCTTGGGGCCCAGGCATAAGAATTAGTCTTCCCACCAGTTTTGAGAATCAGAGAGTGTGTTTCCTGATTGGGGGCGGGGAGAAAGAACATGTGGACAAAACCATGGCCAACGTCTCATCAAGCTGTTGGAAAAGAACATTTTGAGCGCTTTTCCTGTAGAGCCTGAGATGGACTTGATTCATCCTGGGTCCTTATTCTACAAAGTGTGATGACCACACAGAAACACTGGAACACTAAAAACTATAGATAACACCATTAAGACATTCTAGGGACTGGTGATGTGGTTTGGTGGGTAGGATGCTTGCCTCAAATACACAAAACCCTGGATTCAATCCCCAGCACACACAAACTGGGTGTGGTGGCACACTCCAGCACTTGGGAGGCGGAGGCTCAGAGTTCAAGGATATCTTTGACTAAGTAATGAATTTGAGGCTAGCTTGGGCTACACAAGACCCTGTTTACAGACAAAGAAAACAGTTTAGGATTCATTGCTGTCAATCTTAATGAGCAAAGCTACCTATCTGTTTTCTGGTTCATAAAATGATTGATTCCGAAGTTTTGTGCCTTAAAGTAGAATAGGCATGTAGTGTCTTCAGACATTGATAGCTGGGTGACCTCTGCTTGGTGGCAACTAAGCATTCTACATGTGGCCTAAGAGTGGGACATGTTCCTGTGATCGCCCCCTGCACCCCCATTCTCCCTGACTGATCCTTTCCCGATGGACATCCCAGCTCCCCTCCCCATGTTATTGGCACAGTGTCCTCTAGCTCAGAGTTACCTTCCACCATGGGAGAGGGAAGACAAGTGTCTCCTTTTGATTCAGCATCAGTGGTTCTGCCTGCCTAGTGCAGCTTCCACTGAGGGGAGAGTTAAATGTCCCTTTGATCTTCCTGATAGCGGAGATGAACACTCAGCTAAGCTCTGCTAATTGAATCTTCAGTAGAAAGGGCTACAGAGCAGCGGGCAGGTGAGCCCTGAGGAGCCACAGATTCCTTGGTTTCCGACTGGGATCATGAAGCCCTGCAGAGAGAGACACCGAGGAGAGGGAAGAGCCATTGTTAGATACTGGCAAGGTGGTCTTGGCAGCCACTCGGTCAGCCTGGGTCAGGTGGGGGACCTGCCCCACCCTACAGCCTCAGCACCCTCGGAATTGGGGATGGATTAGAGGTCTGAGGTGAAAGCTGATGGAAGGGCCACATCTGTTTCCCAAGAAAACTTGTTTGTCTTCCTCTTAAGCCATCACTCAAATTCTAGAGGCAGCCAAAGTCATCACTGCTCAGAGGAAGACAGGAAAGGTCCCTTTTAGTGTGTCACGTGCCTGCTACCCTGTGCCTTCTCATACCTGGAACCAAAGCAACACGTGAACACTCCTGGGCTCCAGACCTTTGACCCATGATTCACCGGCTGGCAAACCTCCACATTCACACTCAGCCATTAGAACACACAGGGCACCCAAGCACACACTCAGTACATCTAATACATTATACATGTACAGGAAAGTGTGCACACATGTACACAGCACAACAACACCCTTCCATGCAGAGACTATGCACAGCACTCATGAGGGACTATACATATAGTACACATACATGTACTTGGCTTAGTACACACACACACACACACACACATACACACACACACACACACACACACACACGCACGCACGCACGCACG